TTCACCTTCTCACAGGGAATTTTCCTCGGTTGGGAATGGATTTATTATGGCTTCACACATGGAATAGAGCTCATGTCAGCTGAGGGCAGTGACACATCATATGATTCAAATTAACCTGCTGTGGACTGTTCCGCAGGGTTTAGATTGTGTACTAAAATGACGACATTTTAAAAACAGCTTGAAAGAAACCAGGATTGCTGAACTGCAATGGTTCCAATTTGTTCCAACTAATCTATCACCTGCTGGAGATATTATTCTAGTGGGTTTCTGGTAGCTGCTGTTTTCCAGGTTTCTCCAAGCCACTGACCTTGCTAATGGGTACAAGGGGGAAAAGGTGGGGGGTTGGGAGCGCTTTGAAAGAGTTTTTGATGTAGAAGTTGGGACCTACCATTTGCTCTATTAAGGTACCATTAGGTGAACAGATGAAATAGGGGAATACTCAAGAACTCCACATTATTTTTCTAAAAACAAGTGCTAAAGAGTAGCATTTGTATCACCTTGTTTAGAGAAAATAATCCCTACAAAATAAATCTAAAAGGCTAAATTTCAAAAGCTGTGAAGTTTACATCTTTTTGAAGAAAGCTTAAGGTTAGACAGTTATAATCAGTATTCCCTCTACCTTTAAGGGTTGTAACTTTTTTTTTTTTTTTTTTTTTTGAGACAGGGTCTCACTCCGTTGCCCAAACTGGAGTGCAGTAGTGTGATTATAGCTTACTTCAGCCTTTACCTCCTGGGCTCAAGCAATCTTCCCACCTCGCCTTTCTGAGTAGCAAGGACTACAGGCACATACCACCATGCCTGGTTAATTCAGGGTCATAACTTTCATTGTTACTATACCTTTCATTAAAGAGCAAGAAAAAATAAATGGAAATTAGTAATATAGTTCAAGACATTCTCTGGAATGATACTTAAATAGATATGCATACAGATTAAAACATAATAGTAGCTAAAGATTTCTAATGATAACACAATGACATTACCTAAAAACTAGAAGTATTACTTGTAGTGCTTTTATTATTTTTTTGTAATGCTTTTTCTTCAAGGAAAAGGAATGTTATTAGGGAACATTATAAAGCTGGAATTTGTTTGCCCAATCTCAACATAAATGATATTCCTCATAGTATCCTCCCTAGGAGCTGGAAAAAATATAATTTCCTTGAGTTGTCAAAATCTATAAAATAATACATTCATATAGTAAAAGCTGTTTTAATGTGTCCTGTTATTCCCATTTAATTAGTGGTATTCAAGTCTCACTATCTTCTATAGCCATTTGATTCCTAAATTAATGTAGCAGCATGCCAATCTGGCTGTGTAGTGAGATAATATAATTACTCTATGAAATAACATCTACTTATCTACTCTAAATCACAAATTGCTTACAGTAGGAAAATTTTTGTCTAAGCTAGTAAATTCTGGAGCAGTTAAAGGCTGTTAGGTTACTGTTTTAGAGGAAGTCACACACAGCTGATATATCATTTAAACTAATCTTCCCTGAAATAAAAGAAATGTACTTTTGTTTAAAATGTTTTAGACTTTGAAGAACTTAAATCATCCATTGGATATTATATTCGATTTTCCATAATCAAAGCACCATTCTAAAAACCACTCATCTTTCTTTATCATTGCCCTGTCCTGTTCCCCAAAATATCTGTGGTTTGGCTCTCAAAGACTGATACTAAAAACAAAAATCATATATGATAAGTCATATGTATATTTTTTTTAAAAAGAATTTTGGTAAGAGCCATATAAAACTTGCTACAAAAACTACAGTACCAGACCAACAGCATCTACTCCATCTGGGAGCTTTTTAGACATGACTTTCAAGCCCTACCTTCTAGAACTATTAAATCACCATTTGCATTTTAACAAACTCCCCAGGGAAGTTTCAAATGCAGAATCAAGTTTGAGAAGTGCTGCTGTAAAATAACTATTTCAATTCATTTACTTAAAAGTTTAAATCTCCAAATATATTATCACTATTATAGCATGGACATAAAATCAGAAATTGTATATGTTTAATTCCCAACTTTGAAAAGTATCTTAAGAAACACAAAAGTACAACTACTTTAAAAAGTACATTTCTGGCCAGGCATGGTGGCTCACGCCTGTAATCCTGGCACTTTGGGAGGCCAAGGTGCGCGGATCACGAAGTCAGGAGTTAGAGACTAGCCTGGCCAATATGGTGAAACCTAACCTCTACTAAAAATACAAAAATTAGCCAGGTGTGATGGTGTGTGCCTGTAGTCCCAGCTACTAGGGAGGCTGAGGCAGAAGAATTGCTTGAACCTGGGAGGTAGAGGTTGCGGTGAGCCGAGATCACACCACTGCACTCCAGCTGGGCAACAGAGACTGCGACTCAAAAAAAAAAAAAAAAAAAAAATCACATTTCTACTACTGAGTCACGTTAAATGCCAGAATTGTAAATACATAATTTTTCATTTATTCATTGGCATTTGTCTTAAAATTCAATTTATTTGGTTGCCTTGAAAATATTGTATCTAATTTACCATCAACTTTCAAATTCCATTTTTTTAACAAACAAATCAATCAAATGTAAACTACAAGATAATTTTCTAGCCAAAATGAGCAACGTGACTGTGCCTAAAAATAAAATGAATGTGAAACTAAAACTGAGAAATAAGTAAATCCAAGTTTCCCCTGTCACTTTTCCATGAACTAACATGTTTTTACCCTATTGCATCTATTTTATTGTGTTCGGTCTTTCATGTGTGAACAACTCTGAAATCAGAAATTGTCTTCACAGTGATGTAATAAAAAGGCACTGTATCACAGTGTAAAGAGCATATTTTTTTTTTCATTTTTAGTGGTACACAGAATGTTTTTCTACAATTGATAGTGGCTTAGATGGAATGAAATATGGTACTTCATGCTCACTAACCAAATACTAGGACTCACACTTCTCCAGTCTATTACCTCACTCCAAAGGGTTCTTCCTACACTTTAACGACTTGCTTATCCTTCAGTTTCTTGCTTTCCTTCATGTATTTAAAACCATATCTAGAGTTTATCAAGATTAGAAATAGTTCTTCATACTTCTACACCTTTACAATCCCAGCACTAGAAAAATACGCTGAAGAAGAATTGGGCCCCAGTGACAAGGTCAGTGGAGATGGTTTCAGTCTCTGTTTAATCCATGACTGGCTTTCTCCATCTGTAGTATGGATCGTAAGTACACTAGCATGCCACAACACATATACTCAACAAAGTCTATATATAAATATTTTTCCTTCCTTAAAATTCATGCCTTGCGGAGTATTGCTAGAGATCTTAAGACAGCTGTAAAATCATCGTTTTAAATTCTTTTCTTTTTTTTTGAGATAGAGTCTTGCTCTGTTGCCCAAGCTGGAGCGCAGTGGTGCGATCTCATCTCACTGCAACCTCTGCCTCCCAGTTCAAGCAATTCTTGTGCCTCAGCCTCTGGAGTAGCTGGAACTACAGGTACGTGCCACCATGGCCAGTTAATTTTTTATGTTTATTTTTATTTTTAGTAGAGACAGGGTTTTACCATGTTGGCTTGGCTGATGTGGAATTCTTGGCCTCAAGTGATCTGTCCGTCTCAGCCTCCCAAAATGCTGGGATTACACTGTGCCCAGCCTATTTTAAATTCTTAATGGCCAGGAGCAGTGGTTCACACCTGTAATCCCAGCACATTAGGAAGCTGAGAAGGAGGATTGCTTGAGTCCAGGAGTTCAGGACCAGCCTGGGCAACATAGTGAGACCTCATCTCTATTAAAAAAAAACAAAAAACAAAAAACAAACTAGTTGGGCGTAGTGGAACACACCTGTAGTCCCAGCTACTTGGGAGGCTGAAGCAGGAGAATTGCTGGAGCCCAGAGATTGAGGCTATAGTGAGATATGATTGTACCACTATACTTCTGCTGGAGCCCAGGAGATTGAGGCTACAGTGAGATATGATTGCACCACTATACTTCTGCTGGAGCCCAAGAGATTGAGGCTACAGTGAGCTATGATTGCACCACTGTACTTTGGCCTGGGTGACAGAGCAAGATGATCGCAAAAAAATAAATAAATAAAAAATAAAATGAAATAAAATTCTTAATGAAGAAACTAATACTTATTTCGTGGGTAACACTCTGAAGCACGGTAAGTATAAAATAACAAAACAAAAAGTGAAATGCAATAATTTTTGTTAAATAAATAGCTAAGACTATATGGAGTGAGGGAGAAATAACAGAAGAGGGGGAAGAACATGAGATGAAGGAAGAAAAGACAGAGGAGGAAGATCAAGGAATAAAGAAAAAATCTTTAGTTATGCCCAAATTAGTGTAGTACAGAAGTTAAGTTCTAGTCTTTGGAGTCATAAAAACTTAGGTTTGAATGGCTCCTCTGTCACTATGACCTTAGGCAATTTACTTCACTTTTCTAAGTCTTAGCTTCCTTATTCATAAAATAGGAATAACTATAGTGCATACTCCTAAAATGCATAGTGCCTGGGACATAATTAGCTCTCAAAAAATTTTGATATCTGTATCTAAAACTGAGTAGTTACTATGTCTCAAGCACTTTGCTAAGCATGTGAAACAGGTACATTTAACTATCAAATCTAAACTATGTATACTGTTTTATGTATATATATCATGTTTCCTTCCATTCATCCATCCAGTCTATCCTCTTCATATACAGGTAAGAAAACTGAAGTATAGAAGATTAGATCAATCACTTAAGATCATACAGTTAATTAATAGAAAAGGTAGAAATAAAATATTGGGGCTTTGGCTTCCAGTCAACTGCTCTTTAATTGATAACTACCTTCTTGTCAGACTGAAGGTAATTCTTAATGCATACTTATATTTGCCTGTTGATCTCTAAAATCGGCAGCCTGAAAAGCATACACCTCTGGGAAAAAGTGAAGTATTCATTTTTTGCATGGAATGTCAAGAGTACTAACAGATCCTATATACATGTTCATATATTCACATAAAAAATGTACACACATGTAAATTTTATGACTTTCTTACCTGGTCCATTCAGAAAGTCTTTAATCTGTAGTGTTATAAAGGAAGGTGGAATACCACTTTTGCTGTCTATTTCTCCAGGCACTGTTTGTAGCCAAACAGTGCAATAATCAAGGGCTTCAGGCAGAGTCTTCCCAGGATCTAAAGTGACAAAATTGAAATGAAAAACATCAATCACATCACAAACATCTCATTTTCATGTATGAGTTTGAGTTAATAAATGAGAGAAAACTGGTTAAATAATTGTATGCAAGCTTCATTGTTTCATTTGTTTGTACACATAATCAAGCACTCGTGTTGAAAAATATAAACTATCACTGTACAATGTGGGATGACAAAACCATGTTTTCCAGAACTAGGACAAAGAGGAAAAAAAAAATGTTCAAATCTGAATTCATATTATGAATGAGGGAAGGTAAAGTTTCTGTATTCTGAGCTGCTGTTAACAGTTTAATAGTTGGATATTTTTTAAAATGTGATATTAAAAACAAATTAAATGAAAAAAGGGTAATTTTGTCAGCTTAAAAAAAAGCATATACATTTTCAAAGATACAGTAGATTAGTACTACTTAGGGGCTATTTGATCTGTTTCAGAGTTTTATTGACATTACAATCACTTTTTACTGCTAGGCCTTTGAAGTTAACCTCAGTAGCTTTCCTATAACCTTCTTTAATGATAAAATTGGTCAGTCTCTTAATAATCCTAATTATAATGAAAATGAGCTTTTTCTGTTTTGACTTTTTTTCTGTTTAATACTATGTATTTTAAAAATCTGGGTAATATTGTATATTTTTTTAAAAGTATTTTTGGTTATTGGTTGTGGCAAACTGAATTTGCTTTTTAATACTTAGGAATCCACAGCTTTTATTGAAATAGCTCTTTAAATAAAAACGACTGCTGTATCTTGGCGTACAGTGTAGTACGCTTTTAAAAAACTTCTAAATATTCACAGTTTTTCTTTAGTTTCATGATTGTTTTACTCTCTGTGTTTTAATGGTCTCTGAATGTCAGTTTTATAGCGATGTTCTTGCCATAGAGTCCATCTATTCCATTTTCAGTCTATTTGAAATGTGTTATTAAAGTATTATTTATTTTAGGTTTTATTGATTGGATTGCTTTCAAGAACAGCATTTACATACAGTGTATTATATTCAACATATGGTTATTTAGTATCGCTGTCATATGTGAAGTGGGCATATAAATTCTGCTTTGGAATTTGTATTTCTTGACCTTATCATGTGATCCTTATGAAATTTGGCACATATGAACCTTATGTGATTTCAAAGAAAATGCTGAAAGCACTTGATCATGATGTTAGATCTATGTGGTCAAGATCAAACACTAAGCTAGTGCACTCTTCTCTTTTTATATCATCAGTGATTTTTAAAGCAGTGAGAATATGCATAGTAGATCCATTGCATAGTAACACTGTGCTATTCTCTCTTTTAAATATAATAGTCAAGTCTGGTGAAAGGATGATTAAAAAGTCTTTGCTGGTAGGATCCAGAATCAGTTTGTAGGAGCTATATAACCTGCTAGGACCTGTGCATCTATTTTGGGTCCCACCACCGCAGCTATCATCAAAAGTGGTTATTATCAGGTAAGTAGTACCATATAGAGCTAAACAAGGAGACATAACTCATCATTTTGAAGAGAATACAATGTGCAGGTAAAACAATGATCTAACAGAAAACACAGATCTTAAAAGATATAAATAACACAATAATGAACAGAGATGATTAAATTGATGTAGAAATATTAATATGATGTATAAAAACTGGCAAGTAAGACTTAGGGTAAGTAAAACAAGTTACAGTAACTGCATATTCAAACTTACATGGCGCTGAGAATTGTTATCCTTGTGGCATATTTAATCAACTTTCTACATTTTTCTAGAAATAAAGATTCCAAGTAGCAAAATAATGCGTACTGAGGCAATGTGCATTAACTATCCTATTGTATATCAACAATAATAACCATAAGACACCAAAACTAAAAAACATAAGGCTGACATATATGACCACACAAAACTTTTGTCAAAGAACACCAAGAACAGAGTAAAAAGTTAAATGACAAAAAGATGAAGTTGTAACGTAGGTGACAGTAAAAGAAAAGGGATACCATTTATATATAAAGAGTTCACATATTCAATGTAGGTACCAACAGAAAAACCAGTGGATAGAATAAACCAATAAATGAAAATTACTAAACAAAACAGTAAACAAAATCAAATGGCATACAAACATTTAAAAAATACAAACATTAAAAGATACTAAATCTTAATAATTAAAGAAACAAATATTTTCAAATAAGGTAGAAATTTTCACCTATCAGTAGAAATTTTCACCTATCAGACAGGCTAAGACTAAAAAAACTGACAATGGGTCTGTAATCCTAGCACTTTGGAAGGCCGAGGTGAGCAGATTGCTTGAACCCAGGAGTTTGAGATCAGCCTGGGTGATGTGGTGAAACCCCAGTTCTACAAAAAAATACAAAAAAATTTAGCTGGGCATGGTGGCGCGTGCCCATGCCTGTAGTCCCCGTAGTAGCAGCTACTTGAGAGGATAAAGTGGAAGGATCACCAGAGCCTGGGAGGTTGAGGCTGCAGTGAGCTGTGACTGTGCCACTGCACTCCAGCCTGAGTGATAGAGTGTGATCCTGTCTCAAATAAAAACAAAAACAGAAACAACAACAAGAACAACAACAACAAAAACACCCGATAATGCCTGTATTGGTAGTTTGTGATGAGAGGTCCACTCTCATTAATTCCATTTTATAATACATAACAGATTTTAAATGTGTATATCACTTGACCTAGGAAATTAATGTGTAGGAATTTAATCCAAATAAGAAGTGTGTAAATAAACATACTGGAGAATTACCATAGCAAAAATAGAGAACAACCTACATATCCAGCAACAGATTAATGTTTAAATAAATAAATAATCTGTATAATTATTTAAGAGAATCAAGAAGATCTATATGGTTGACATAAGACAGTTATTTTATATTATTAATAGGGGGAAAAAAGCAAGCAGGTTAAGCATTTTCATTCATTGGCCATTCAGGATTCCTCATCTACAAAGAATTTATTTACACATTTTTCTCTTGAGTTCTTTTTCTTACTGATTTGTAGGAGCTCCTTATATATTTTGAGTATTAGTGTTTTGTTTGCCTTATTTAGCAAAGCCTTCCTCATGTAAAGAGGCAGCCATTTAACTGTATTCTGATGCTTTTTGCATGCATACTTTTTAAACACATATGGTAAAAAAATCTGTTAACTTTTACTTTATGAATTTATTCCTAGGTAATTATATATGTTCCTAGTTTCTTAAAGCATTTTTAAGCTTTTGTTTTTACCTTTAGCTGTTGAATCCTCCTAGAGAGCACTGCCTTATGAAAAATAGGAAAACTCTGCTCAGCTTCGCTCTTAATCGGGGATATACAAATTAAAACAAGAAATACAATTTTTCATCCATCAGATTAGCATAAATTTAAAAAATTGATAATATCTTATATTGGGGGAGAAGGAGAAGAAACAAATTCTCCCATGGATGGTTGATAAGGGTATACATGCAGTATTTTTGCATGAGCAGAGAAGAAGCCTGACAATGAATGTTTATCAAAATTATAAATGTATATGTCCTTGGAATCAGAAAGGCCATCTGTAGGACTGTACCTTAAAGAAACACTTAAGAATATATAAGTAAGTGTCCAAAGAAGTTGACTGCAACATCATTTGAAATATTAACAATTTGGGAAATGTTAAACTAAATATCTATCTATAGATAAATATAAAATAAATTATGAATGCACCATAAATGCTGCATAGAATACTATGCTGCTCATAAAGAGAATGGTGTGACTCTCATACACTGAAAGAGAAGAGCTTAAAAATGTATTGATCGGTGAATAAAGAAATAGGACACAGATTCAGTAAATTCAAATGTAAAAAAATCTATCTGCATACATACACACACATATGCACGTTTTTAAAGTACTGTTGAATGATCATCTCTAGGATGATCCTAAACATATGCTGACATATAAATTATTCAGGACTTAAAGACAAAATAGCACTATTTACCAAGCATTTATAAAAATTAAAGGGAAAAAGAAAAAACACTTCAGTAGGTATTTGATGCCCTTCTCTCAAGGTATAAACTGGGGGAATAGCAAAGTCTGATAATGTAGATAAGAGTTTTCCAAGTAAGTGAAGTGGGTTTTGTGCAGTTGCCTCTCTTTTGGCACAAGTTAGAGGACCTGACTATCTGGCACCAAACTCAGGAGTCTACCCTGGACAATTACAGGAGAGATGACTTAATAGGAGACACAATAAACCAACTGGTAATAGCAGAAAGCACAACAGAAATTAGAAATTAAAGCAACTGTAAAAGTCTAGGAAATCCATCCAAGGAATCCCAAATGACTATTTCCCAACAAAATATTAGTATACCTGGTTTTTAAAGTATGCCTGAATTTACAGGGTTGATAAAACAGAATAACTGAAATTAGGAACATCCAGAAAAATACAGGTTGCATGGTTAATGAAAATTTAATTCAGGACAGGTCTGGTGGCTCCTTTCCCGGTTTTTGCTAAACTCTCTACTTCAGATATGCCCGTAGTCACTAACATTGATAGAGGGAAGTATGCCTTTGTTTATCATTTGAATCATACAAAACATGACTCAGTGCAGCCAGCTCAAAATGAAACTCTGAAAGCAGCTGTAGTAGCAGAAAGGTGTGTCAGAATCCCAGAGAAACGGCTTAAGTTTGAAAGTCACCCTTTAGTCCCTTATGGTCTAATGGCTAGAAGATGAGGGGCATGACTCCTAGTCTTCCTGTCCTGTCCTCAATTTAACTTCTCCTTAATTCCATCATCAGGTCTAGAATATAGGATTCATATTACACATTCTTCAGGGTCAACACACTGGGGAATATACCAGATAAACTAAGATTAAAGGAGCCTAAGAATATAATGTAAATGAAGTGACAAACAGATAACTATTTCATATTGGAAGCTCTTTCAGACCTCTTCTGGATTTATTCAAGTCATAGGAATCTCTCAAAAATAATAAACTCCTGCTGATGTTGATGAGCACATTTACACTGCTGTCCCTAAGCCAAAGAAACAGGAGAA